GAGTACAGGCACTGTTACCGCAAGACTTTCCGAACCGTCTTGAATTTTGCAATTGGATGCTGGAAATGATTAGAAGAAATTGTGACTTTCTGAAGACGATAGAATTCACAGACGAATGCAATTTTTCTCGGGACAAGATTATTAATTTCCATAATTACCACATATGGGCTAATGAAAACCCTCACGCTATTGTCGAAACTAACCATCAAGGACAGTTTTCTCTTAACGCGTGGCTCGGAGTTATTGGGGATGATTTTTATTGGGACTCATTTCCTACCTCCTCGATTAAATGGTGAGGAATACGTTCAATTTTTAAGAGAAGTGCATCCATCACTGCTGAAGGAAGTTCCTTTGAGCGTCAGAAGGGATATCTTTTTTTGCATGAAATGGGCTCCCGCCCATTTTAGTCAAGTAGCACGTCAGCATTTAACTGAAACATATGCAAATCAGTGGATAGGTTAAGGGAGGACCACAGAACTGGCCCGCTCGATCCCCGGATCTCAATCCTCTCGATTTTTCTATTTGGGACCATTTACAGCATTTGGTTCATCGTACTCCTGTTCCCGATGTAGAGGGCTTTCGCATCATCGATGCGTGCAGGGTAATCAGAGAGACTCCAGGAATATTTGAGCGAATACGTGGCTCAATGCGCCGATGTCTAGACGCGTGCGTAATGTCTGAAGGTGGACATATTGAACATTTACTATGATTTTTACATGCTGTGTGTTTTTTTATTAATAAATTGGTTTTGTTTATTATCCTTTAATCGTTCAATGCAGGTACTAACTACAAAATAACAATAAATCCAGTTCGCATTTATAACGATGTATCTCTGTAGTTGTTCGTGAAATATTTTTTTGCTGCGAACTGGTTTATTTTGGGCAAAAAACCCAAAAGACATTTTTTTGTTTAGAATTAAACATGCTATCGGAAATAAATTTTTGAATGGTAAACAAATAATAAGACAAAAAGTTACATTGGAAATAAATTTTAGGGGTTGCGTTTTCCACCCCTTACAACCATGGGGTAAACCAAATAAATTACTGGCTAAGTGTCTTTTTGGTAGTACAAAACGTCAGGTTAATTTCAATATTGTAACTTCTTCAGTTTTTGTGAAAAAAATTGTTATGCAAATTTCATGTACTCTCTTTAAGGGGCTGTATCTTAACAATGAAGTTTCTTTATATGAAAGATCATATTTTTTTTTCGATGAAGAATCACCTCCTTAAATGTTTTACACTTATTCAGTTACACCCTGTATATAGATATGTAGATCATGCAAAGAAGTAACTTTTAGACGCAAACTGGAAAAAAGCCCTCTTGAAACAGATACTTTCATATAAACATTGAATTACACGAAAGAAAAATTATTTCGAAACACATACTCTCATATGAACACTGAATTATACAAAAAAACATTTTTTTCTACTTAGTTTGACCAAACATTCGTTATGGAATTATATCAAATATCATTCACAGGATTTCTACACAAAATACTAAATGAATGGTAAAATTTCGCTTACATATAACACTGTCATCCTCACTGGTAGACATCGATGTTTCGCCATAAGACACTTGTCTTAGGGATCTTCAGTACCAATCTGGATAATATTATAAGAAAAAACGACACAGTTCATCCCTAAATTACGATTTTTTATGTCGCGGAATAAGTTTGATCTACTTATGTCATCGATGACATCGTAATGACATTTCATCACTTATTTGATTAAATCCGAGCCAGAAGGAATCTTGTTTATATTGAAAGGGTTATATTTTCAGGAGTGATTAATTTTTGGGAAAGAAAAATGTTGGTTTTCTACTACTCCTTTCAATATAATCAAAAATAAATTTTCACTTATACACCTCACATAATACAGGACCATATAATTGATTATCTTTCCATGGTCCTCTAACCCACAAACACGTAAATAATCCTTCCATAATAATGTACTACCTAAACAAAAATATGTTATTGGGAAATATTCAGGAAGGAAATTGGTATGAAATTTACCCGCTTAAAAGCTAGAATTATCAACAGATATACTCGTCAGAAGAATACAAGCGGCAACCGAAAGTAGTACGAATAAAGTAAAAGTCAAAAAAGAAAATTTCAAAAGAAGTTCTTGTATTAACAGTCATATAGTTGAACTGACGAATGAGAAAAATCATATTTATTGAAAACCTAAAACTCAACCAACACCAGAAAATAAAACAAAGTGCAATCAAATGGAAAATCATACATACGGTAAAGATAAAGGACTATCAAAAACAAACTGAAAAATAAAAACGGTAAAACTCCAACAGTTTATGGAAAACGATAAACGATTTATCTGGAAGTGAAAATTAAATGTAATAAACGAAATCGAAAAAAAGACACGTGATATACTCAAAAACGAAACTGAAATAGCAAATGAATTAATCATTCATTTCACAAACAAAATCAATTATCCCGCTTCTCAAAAAAAGTTCCATATCTTTCGTATAAAGCTGAATAAGAAGAAAGCCACAAACCTTTCTTTCTCAAAAAATATAACTGTTTCAAGTTGCAGTTTCAAATAATCAAATAAATTTATTCCTTCATAGAGTTCGTTGAGTATTACAATAAAGTAATTATAATTCTAAACGTTCTCTTAGAGTTCTTTATTAACAAGTAACAATTACATATTATAATAATTTTTTTCGTAATATCCAGATTCAGAATATAGTATTGCGTTCTCACCATATTCAAAAGGCTCATTATAGTTCATGAAGAGTTTTATCAAATGCATACTGAGTGCCACTATTATTATTGTGCAAATAAAGTATTTGTGGTAATTCACATACACCATCATTGATTCAATGAAGTTTACACAAATTAAGTACCTATATGCTTTCAATATCGAGATTTGGCACTTTTGTCCTGAAGTATTGGGTATTACAATTGACTCATGTACTCCATATTAAATATATCTTTTTTATTACCACAACGGTATTTGATTTAAGGTGGATTCAGGTACCAACTGTAAGTTGCCCTTATCATAAGTTTTATATTGTAACAAATCTAGGTCCTCATGAATTTTCATGACCTTTAACTTGCGACACACTACTCAACAACTTGAGATTGGTGCATTATTCAACTTAACTGTTGATAGCTGATAGACTGGTTTCATCATAGACTGGATTTCGTCATATTTCAACAAATTAACACAAAACATTGACGAATTATAAATAAATAACTTTGAGTTTATTACATTCAGACAGACAGATAAACGCGGCGAGGGGACTTTATCATATTTTATCCCTTTCGGCATTCATTTTACTACTGATAAAGAGTAGGGTCATTGAAAATGTAAGCTTCTTTGTAACATCAGCTTTATTAGTGTTAAGAATAACTGTTTGGTTTTGGGATAAAACTCCAGTATTATTCATTACCACACCAAAGGTTTCAAACTGCATCACGAGTACTTCCGATATCCCGTGGAAGTTTATAGTAATACTCAAAGTAAAGAATATGTATCGAAATGGCCCACGATGCTTACATCTGCAATCCGTACGTACTATCCATGTTTACGTTTATTTATTTCGATTAAAATTTTTAATTTTTGAAGCAAATATCATTATGAAAAATGATAAATAATTTTCAGACCCCTGTAATTAAGAGATGACATTTACTGGATCATTGTCTTACAAAAGTTCTGGTTGCCTTATATTACAAGTAATACGTAAGAGTCACCAGATACATCTTAGTTTGATATTGTCATCACATCATACAGTGTCATCCCCAAAGAATGCACCATATGGAAAACTTATTTATTAAGAGTTTTTCGACACAATGTTATTTTTAAAAAACGTTTGAAAATTATTTTACTCTTCAAAAGAATTGACCTTGGTTAACACCATAGTTGTTTAATTTGTAATATTGCAGGCTTTTAAAATAAACCGTCGTATACAGGCTACTGTCTATTTATCGTTTTACCAATGTTTTTGTAGTCTCCATTTGAAACAAATGGGTAAAAAAATAAAACTTCACTTAGATGGCCATGACTTCAAATCTAGATGTATTTCCTGATGCTGAACAACTGTTTCAAATAACATTTCCCAAGATTTTAAAAAATAAGAGTACTTTACTCGTGTCTCAAAGTCAAATATATGAAGGATCTTCATACTATATTTAGTTGGTGCATGTTCAGTTTTAGGGGATGCACAAACTTTTATCAAGTATAAGTTTTTGTCGAAAAACCCTTAATAAATAAGTTTCCCATATGGTGCATACTTTGGTGGTGACACTGTATATGAATAGTTGGTTAGAAAAATAATCTATTCGAAATAAATGAGGTCCAAATTTCAAAGTATCAGTCACAACTCGAATGAAATGTTTTCGAGGAACCTATTCAAATAAAAGGAAAAATTCAATATAATTGCTACCTACTTACGTTATGAAATCTGTCTTCTGAATATATCTTTATACTGTGTATTCCAAACAAGTTGCACCGATTGATTCAACGTTTGTGTGAACATTAAGTTATTAAAGTGAGTGGTGAAATCAAAATAGCTCTTCTTCATGTACTTACCTTGACCTTATAGAAGACTCACTCTAACCAAACAATTATGTATCATCTTCAAGAAGAAAGAGCATGGTATGTTAAAAGTTAAATGCTTATAAATAGATGCTTATCGGCTCAATGCAGGAATTATTTGATGTCGTCGAATTAATCGCATGATATTTCAGAGACAGAAACAACTTAACAGTTGAAAATTGGTTATTCAGTAAAGAGAAAAATGACGTTTAATTTTTATCCATAAAAAAAGGTGTATTTTATATTAGAAATACAATTTATTTTCTTATATTTTTTATGATGATGAATGAAACGGATATGTGCATATTTTGTGCAAAACAGTTAATTCCCATTATTTGAATTGACACACGTAACAATCCCATCTTTATTAAAATTTTTGGGCAAACTGAAAAGTTCAACGAACAAGTTACTGCGTCAAATGATCTCGTTTCTAGAAAAAAAAATGTGTCTGGTGTGGAAATGAATAGAAAGGTAACTTTAATACTTAGCTAAATGACGATTTGGAAAAGTGTATATTTTTTGCTTGAATTGAGATGAGTAACTCATCAAATTCATAGTGGGAAGGGCCTAAAAACTGTTCTAATATCTCTGAATATCAATAAAATCATAAAATGAGGTATTGTGTTTTAATCCACATAAAAGGTCCCTCATGTTTTAATAGAGGACACCTAGTCTCCCAATCATAAGATCTGTCTGTTTAAAAATCTGTCATGCTGTTTGTTATCCTCGAACTTCTTAGAATGGAATTCCACATTCAAATGAGTTTCACCGCTTCTTCTTTTCTGTTGAAATTATCCGTGTGTTTGTAGATCTCTATTGCCTCCCGTATCAATCGGCTATGGCATCCCTGGTTGGGGGCAATGAATTCTGTGTTTTCAAACAGAATCCTGTGGTTTTCTTCACTGAGTGCGTGTTCTGCCACAGCTGACTTGTCTGTTTGCCCCAGTCTGCAGTTTCTCTCATGCTCCTTCAGCCTTGTTCCTATAGATCTTTTGATGGTTCCGATATATACCGTCCCACAAGTGCACAGTATGCGATAGACCCCTGCTGCAGATAGCAAAAGTCGGCCTTCGAAGCCTTGCAAATGTAATCAAAATAAAACATTCACAATTTGGATTCTCTAAGTTTTCCCGAACGGAATGGATGAAAAATTCTAATTGTGAGTTCCTTAAATTTTCAAGAATGCAACCAAAACAAGATAATCCCCAATCGAAGGTTCATGAAACCAGATGTGGAAATCGTTAGCGATTTTCAACGTTGATCACATAGAAAGCTTTTTTACGAGCTCTCAGAGACATCGACATAAACAGTAATTGAGAATTTCCCGAAGAACTCATCACACAATTCTAGAGAGAGCTCGCCACAATATTTTGCTATATAGAAAGTATTGTTTGAGGATTTTCCCGCCAGATTTCGCTAAGAGCACGTAGAAAATATCCGTGAGGCGAACATTTGACGAACACGTTCCAAATAATTCATAAAAGGCCTCACAATTTCGTAAAAAGATGTTGATGAGGAATCTTCAGGATTTTTTGTCGTACTAGTTCATTACTGCATTGACAATATATTGAAAAGTTGTATCGGGTATAGCAGTCAGAGGCAGAAAGATTGTAAACTCTTTTTTGTTCGACCTTTCGATTATATGATGAAATAAGTCGATTGAAAACTTGTATATTACACCCAATCCTCAACCTTAACAATGAGAACTGCCGATGGACATCAGCTAAATGAAATTTTACTGAATTCTTACTGATGAGATAAAAGATTATAAAGATAATAAAGATAACATGAAATATTATAAAATGGCGATTAGAAAAATAATAAAAAATGTCAGATTGAAAATATGAGTTGGATTATTTATGATTGCCAAACGGTGGTCAGAGTATGGAAAAATAAGGTATAGGATCTTTCAAAAAATTAATATTTTGAAGCCAACGAGTTGGCTTTGTATATATTTGCTGTGTGTAGGCTAACAAATGAAATTTATTACCTCAAATTTACATGATATGAAAATGATTTATATTTACCACTGGATGAAGAAGAAACATCTGCGAGACTAACCTCAGTGAGATATCTTGCATAAATTTCTGTCGGATATAATTCAATATCCAGCGTGGTACTAGCCGGAGAATTAATTGTTTTCCGGCAGGAATTTACCATAACCTACGGTGTAGGTAGTTGGTTGAGACGAACATTTCGAAATTTTATTTCGAAAAATGTACGTATGTATCCCTCCTCGACACAGTCTTCAGACATAATTTCAAACTGATTAGAATATAACTCTCAACAGAAATTCATTGTTTCTGATTATTATAAACTTTCCACCTGAATAATTCTCAAGATATGTTTTGCTATGCAGTAGCTTCTTCAGTCGTGACTAATGCTATAATGATAAAATTTAACTAAAAATAACTATGTAATAAATTCAACTGAATTTTTTTTTCTCATCTGGAATCTAGAATCTAGAATCATAAGTTCCACTAGAAAACCTGCTATTTTTCTTGAAATCATTCAACCCCTAGCCAGCTAATTTTATACAGAGAAACTCTCAGAAGTCTTCAAAATATTTGTGCAAGCTGAATGAAAACTTACCCTTCAATGTACCATCTCAAGTGAGAAAAGAAGTCGATTATCAGATCTCCTAGATATGTAGACATCTCTGTGATGTAAGTATGTATTATTTATGGAAAACAATTGAATTGATAGTATCTAATCACTGGTACTAAGAAATTTTACCTTTATATAACGTGTGATAACTATCACCGTGTTATATATATACTCGTATATTTATATTTCCTTTCAATTGTTTCTGGTGAAGTAAGTTCAGTCATACGTAAGAATTATAACGGAGAGATGTTTCTCATAGAAAGTGAAATTTTTATTGGATTACTTATTTGAAATGATAGCAGCTATTCTCATTTCAACATTCTGAATAAACTTTTGGATGTTAACCAATATGTGGAAAGGTAATTGTGTTGCTGTTCAACTTAAATTTTTTTTTAGAAAACGCAAAATTTGTTTATTTTTGGGGAAATATGTGGAAAGGTAATTGTGTTGCTGTTTAATGTTAACTATTTTTTTATAAAACGCAAAATTTGTTTATTTTCATTTTTAAAACAGTGTTGTTTTGTAGGACGTTGAAAATAGAATAACGGAAAATGAAAAATATCTGAAGATCATCGTGCGTAGGAACTAATTCCTCAATAAGCACAGCTATCATTATTGAAAATCCGCATAAATTTCATGTTTACGATTATCAATATTGATGAAGTCTTATTATATGGGGCGAATAATTATGTTGTCAGACTACATTATTTCCAACTAAAATTAATTGAAGAATTTCCCAGGTTGATCGAATACCTCCCAGACATATTTTAGAAAAAAGTTCAGGATAAGTTAAATGTAATGTTTCCTGATAAGTGAGAAGAACGACAAGAAATGTCTATTCCTTGTCCGCCAAGGTCGCCGGAATTACCATTATTAGGTTTCTATTTTCGAAAAACAGTAAAATGGGATGTATATTGTACTGCCGCTACTATATGGGAGGATCTGTGAGCAGCGTGAGAAAAATCTTCAAGGAGAAATTCAAATAATGCAGTATAAGTGTAATTACCATCGTTCCTCTTGTTCCAAGTTTAAAATACCAAACAAGTAGGTACTGCTTTTTTGTGAAATTATCAGGTTATTTCAAGAGTTTTATCGGTATTGATAGTTTTTGTAGTTTCATATCTCAATAATTATTTTTTATTCTGTGTCGTGGTATATACCGATCGATACAGAATTTTGTACTGTATTGTGTATTGTGTATTTTGTGGTATGTACCGATCGATACAGAATTGTGTACTGAATACATTGATGGTTTTCATTTTTTTTTTCAAAATTTTCATTGTTTGCCTCCTTTCAGCGTATAACTATATGATGTCTTTGAGCAATTTGCGGCCAATTTTTCTCTACGAATTCAAATTGAACCAAAGCGCTGCCGAAAATTAACCAGGCATTTGGTAATGATAATTTTAATGAACGCACTGTTCGACGTTGGTTTGCGAAATTTCGCAAACCTAGCCTCGAAGATAAGCTCCGAAGTGGTCGACCTATAGTAATCCAGGCCGAAGATTTGAGACCCCTGGTGTAGACTACCAAACGATTCGTTGTTAAACTCGTTTGAGCGTCAAAATTCTGCCTCACTCACCATATTTCCCAGGCCTCTCGCCAACCGACTTCTATCTTTTCGAGCACTTCGATAACTTTCTCACCGGTAGAACCTTCGCCTTTCAGGATCAGGCGGAAACGGCCTTTGTCGACTTCATCGAATCTTGAGCACATAATTTTCATGCTGACGGAATTAGTGTACTTGTGTTACGTTAGTAAAACGTGGACCTATATACCACCCAGTTGGTTGGCAGCAAGGGTGGTATATATACCTAAAATGAGTCGGAAACACCCACACCCAAAATCGGTATGACCAATCAGCCTTACATCCTTCCTGTTGAAAGGACTTGAGGATACTGGACGGACACATCAGGAGGGTGGCATTATATGCATTCCCCTGAATAACCACCATTATGCTTATCAAACCGACAAATCGACAGATTTAGCAATAAACAACCTTGTGGAGAAAATCTCTTAGTCACTTGACAACAATGAGATTGCGGTTGCTGTATTTGTGGATATTGACGGAGCATTTAACAATGCACTAACTGAATCTATAGGATCGTCTCTGGCTAGGAAAGGTATAGAATCGACCATAACTGGCTGGATCTATGCCATGCTGATAAATAAAACTGCAACTACGACTCTTCAAGGCGAGGCCATCAGGTTCAGGGTCACCAGAAGCTGCCCTCAAGGTGAGATACTATCTCTCCTTCTGTGGTCGCTCCTGATGGATAGTTTGCTTGATGCCCTCCACAGAAGAAAAGTAGATCTGCAAGATTATGCAGATGACATC